CTTCATCTTGTCACAGGTGTGCTTTATTGCTCTTTTCAGAATTTCCTGAGGTGGACTACCTCACTTATTTCCTTCTTTCTCACTTATGAATGTAAGCGTTTTTTCTGTAAGCACTGCCTTAGCTGCATTTCAGAGGTTTTCACGTGTAGTCTTTAACTGTAATTCTTTATAGTCTAAAAAATCAGTTTCCATTTCCTCTTTGACCCAAGGATTTCTTTCAGATTTTTAAAAATTTCCAAGTAGTGAGGTCTTTTAATTTTCTAGCTTTGCTGTTTCTAGCTTTAGTGATCCCACTTCCACTGTCAACTGCCTATCTCTTTCCATTGCAACAAAACTCTATTTTGTCTATACTTGCTATATCAAATTCCTCTCTTCCTATTCTCTCTTAAATCCCTTAATCATCAGGTTTCCCCAACACCACCACCACCAATAACCTCCACATTGCTAATTAATTCTCATTCCTCATTTTATCTTACCAGCATACTTTGACAAAGTTAATCCACCAAAATTTGATTTTTTCATGTATGATGTGAGGTAGGAGTCAAGATTCTTTTTTTTATTCTCTCCCATATAGATATTCAATTGACCTAGCACCATTTGTTGAGATTACCTTTTTCCCACGTATTACCACATTTCATAAATCAAATACTCATATATTTGAAAGTCTGTTTCTGGACTCTCTATAATGTCCCACTAGACTATTTGTCAGTCCTTGAACCAATATCACCCTGACTTAATTATTATTGTTTATAGTAAGTCTTGCTATCTGGCAGGAGTAAATCCTACACTTTGGTTCTTCTTTTTCCTGATTGTCTTGGCTATCTCCATTTCTATGTATGTTTTAGAATCAGCTTGTCAACTCTATCATAAAAAAGAAAAAGAAAAAACCTGCCAGGTTTCTTACTGTGATTTCACTAAACCTATAGATCAATTTGAGAAAAACTTATTATCTTAAAAACACTTAACCTTCCAATACATGAACAATAATATATACTTCCATTTATTTGTATTCTTTAATTTTCCTGATAATGGCTTATAGTTTTTTGTTTAATCATGCACATTTTTGTTAGATTTATACCTAGTTATTTCATGTTTTGCTGATGTAAATATAAATGACATATATTTTAATTTTTGTTAATGCTGCTTTATAGAAATGCAATTGCATATTGACTTTGCATCCAAAAAACTTGCTAAACTCACTATCTCAATCTTCTAAGAACCCAACCATGTCATCCATAAATAATGACACTTTTACTTCCTCTTTTCCAGTCCTTATATCTTTATTTCTTCTTCTTGCATTATTGTACTGGTTAGGAACTCCAAAACAATATTGTTAACATAAAAGGTAATAAAAGACTTCCTTGATTTCTCATCTCAGAGAAAGTTTTAATACTATCCTGTTAAATACAATGTTTGCTGTAGGTTCTGTAGATACCCTGTATCAAATTACGAGTTTTTCTCTATTCCTAGCTTGCTCAAACTTTTGCCAAATACTGGATGCTGAATTGTATCAAACTTTTTTTTAGTATCTATTGGGATATCCACAACTTTTCTCCTTTATTCTTTTGATGTGGTAAATTACATAGACTGGTTCTGAATATTAAACCAACCTTACTTTCCTAGAAAAATACAAATTGGGTCAAAATATATTATTCTTTTGATATTTTGCTGGAATTATCTTGATAATATATTATTTAGGATATTTCATCTATATTCACGAATGATATTGGCAATACTTTTCTGTTCTTGTCATGTCTTTGTTAGGTTTTAGTATCAAGGTTATGCTGGCCTTGCATAACAAGTTATGAAGTGTGTCCTTTTTTTCCCTATTCTTTCAAAGAGTTTATGAATAAAATTTTAGTTTGGCAGTTATTTATTTCTTTTTCAAGAACTTTGGAGGCATCTCCTTTGTCTCCTAGCTTCTTTGTCTCTGTTGAAACAGAATCTATTCTGGCAATCTCATTGTTGCTACTTTGAAGTAATATGCTCTCCCCTCACTTTCCTCACCCCCACTTTTATTATTTTCTCTTTGACTTTGGTTTTCACAGTTCTACTATGATATATCTAGGTGTGGTTTTCTTTTATGTTACTCTGCTTGGGATTCATAATACTTTTTGAATCTGTGGCTTAATGTCTTTTACTAAGTTTTAGAGATTTCTCAGCCATTTTCTCCTTGAATACTGCTTCTGCTACATTCTCTCACTCCTCTCCTTCTGAGACTTTAATTACATTTCAGTGTTTTATGCCAGATTCAGAATTGAAGATTAATAATTTTTTGACCCTATTCTCTTGACAAAGCTGCCTGGGTGGTGCAAACGGTTAAGCATTCAACTACTAGCTGAAAGGCTGGCAGTTCAAACCCATGCAGAGGCACTCTGGAACACAGGCCTGGCGATCTGCTTCTGAAAAGTCACAGCCTTGGAAATGCTATGGAGTTCTACTCTGTATACATGGGGTCACCATGAGTCAGAATCAACTTGACACAACTAACAACAACAACATTCCCTTGACAGGTGGGGTCTACGTTTTCTCTCCCTAAATCTGAGCAAGTTGTGTGGTATAATTGGTCAAAAGAATACAGAGACATTGCATGTTTTCCAGGCTCAGACCTTAAGAGACTAGAAGCTCTTACATTTCCTATCTCTGGAACACTCTCTCTACGAATACTTGCTCTGGGGGGAAGGTAGCTACCATCTAAAAAGCCCAGATACCTTGAGACAAATGCTGCCAGCCCAGAAAAGTCCAACCACCCCAGCCCTGGCACCAAACATGAGTGCAGGAGCCATCGTGGGTGTCAGAGCTCCAGGAGATGACACATAGAAAAGAACAAAGCCTCCAGATATATGGCCCCAGTTGAGCCATTCCAGACATCCCCAGCTGTTTGGGCCTTGAAGTCTGAGACACTGTGGAGCACAGACAAGCCAAAGCTCACAGAATTCCTGACTCTCAGAATCATGAGCATTAAAAAAAAAGTTGCCATTTTAGGATCATTTGTTATCATTGGAAAAGGTACTCTGCCACGGAGGCCTTGAGTGTCCTGTACATTCTTGCTGGGTGTGCCTAGAATGCAAGGCCCTAACTGCTGTTTACCTGGACCATTTCTCAAGGCTGTGTTTGTAGCTAGCAACCTTGAAGGATGAGGTAACACAGGCCTTGAGTGTCCTGTACATTCTTGCTGGGTGTGCCTAGAATGCAAGGCCCTGACTGCTGTTTACCTGGACCATTTCTCAAGGCTGTGTTTGTAGCTAGCAATCTTGAAGGATGAGGTAACATCTCTGTCTGGAACAAAAAGTTGACTTACTATAAAAGGAGTAAACTCCCCAAGCTTGTTGTTCCTCAGCTGCAATAAAAACTCACTGTGTGCACAGCATCCACCTGGACCCATGGATGTTGCTGCTGTAGGGCCTGGAGGGCAAGGGGAACTGACCCGATATGATGCTCATGCTGCTTACTTTGCTATGAATAATGAAGTCTTTTGTCTCTGACCCAGGAGTCTTGTGTCTTCTTCCAGCATCCATGAAGCATTAATAGGCTAACATATTAGCTTGCAAACAGAATAAAATCCTAGATCCTTCAAAATTCTTAAAAGTTACATGGCAATAAATAATCAGAACACATTCCATATGTCATTTTTGTATTTTTCATCCTTTTGCCTCTTTGTGTTTCATTCTAAGTATTTTCTTATCTATATTCCAGTTCACTAATTCTCTCTTCATTTATTTCTAATTTGCTGTCAATTTTTTTCCCATTGAGTTCTTATTTAAGGTATGATATTTTTCAGTTTTAGAATTTCCATTTGATTCTTTTCTTTTTTTTTTCAGTTTCCAGTTCTCTGTTGCAATTCTCAGTCCTGTCTTTTTTTCACCCATGAACATAACTGTTTAGTTATTTTAAAACCCGTGTAGAATAACAGCATTATCAAGCTCTTCCATAGATCTGTTTCTACTGTCTGTTGTTTCCCTTCATTTCTGGTCACATCATCTTGTGCCTTTTTGTTTTTTAAATGAGTGTTTGACAATGCATATAAAAAATGTAAACCTGAGACTTAGGATGATGTCATCTTCCTCCAAAGAGGAATTTATATTTACTTCTAGCATGTGGCTAGAGGTACTTAAGTCATAGACCCCTTAATCTAATCAGTGATCAAGCTATTACAAAGTGGGGATTTATTTCTAAGGCATGGCACTTTGGGGCTAAAAGCTAAGCATGGAAGGTTAACCAATACCAAGCCCCCAACCTTGGTGGGCTCTGAATGCCTGTTTTTCTTTTTCTAACCTTAAGAGTCTGCTCAGAGTCACATCTACCTTTCCCAAAATCAGTAGATGCTACTTGGGGAAAAGTGGCCTGAAATATAGGCTCATCTCTCTGCCTTAAAAGCATTCTGATACATTCAAGTATATGTCTCATACACTTTGTCCAGTTTTTCTAATTCTTTTCAGCTGGAGTGTTAACAAAATTACTTTATTCAGCATTACCAGAAATGGGACTTCTCCAAAAACAGATTTAATGTGTTTTATATTTAAGAACTTTAAAAGTTCTGTTTTTTCCTTTTTGCTCCATTATACATTCACTATACGCATTCCACCAATCATTTTCAAATAAACTGAAAGGATAACACTTTATTAGACTAAGAAATACCTTTATGAAATATCATTTACCAGAAAAATTGGATGTAGTACTGGAAAGCATTTGGAATAAAACAAAATTTTAAAATATTTTTAAAGAAAAAACGTACGAAAGTAATTTCACATTTCAATTAGGAGAATGAAAACTACATCAGTTTTCATGTTATAATATCTTTCTCTTTTAATTATATCTAAACGCTTACAAACTTAATCTAGGAATAAAATATCATTTTATCACAACCCAGTTATTTTTTTGAAACATCCCAAACACGTAATTTTTTCATATTATTTTTGTCCTTTGGAAAACTATATAACTTTATGAAGATTTGAAGTTTAGTGTAAGTCTGAGAGAAATATTTTGTTTGCAGCACTTACAGTGAAAAATACGAAAATCAATATATGGATGAGAACCTCTTCTTTCTGATTCAAATCCTGCTCGACTCCTTACACGTACATCTCCTGGGCAGAATCAAGAATAAAACATAAGTTTAGAAGGCTACTATTTTGGAAGAAGCTCTCAGATGCAACAAAAATCTGTGTGGTATCATACTCAGAAGTAATGGCCCACTAACAATATACATGGGACAAGTAGTTAAGAGCTGATTTATTGTGCTTAAAAGTATAAGCTACATTAGCATAAAATTTGAAGGGATTTACAAATGTTCACTACTGAGTGCTAAGGCTAGACAAGGAGGTTTTCTTAATCTTCCCCAACAATAAGAATTATAACACATATTTTAAAGTTAGCCTCAGAAAGAGGAGTAAAGTGTATGATAAATCAATTTAACATCTTATTACTCACATGGAGTTTAAAAAAAAAAAAGCCACTGGGAAATAAAATCTATTTTACATGAGACAGAAAATCCTCAGCACAAAAAATTTTAAAGCCACCACAAGAAGCAAGTATTTATTAACTGTCTACTCTGTGGTTTAGCACTATACTAGGGACTATAAGGGATATGAGGAAATAGAAAATACTTTACCTATTCTCACGCAGCTTATAATTTCATAAATAAGTAGAAAATTAAACGCTAAATATTTTGCCCTAAGTGTTTAATTTGATCAATTTTTTCTTTTCTCATTATACCCAAGACCTTCAGTTGGTTCTTAAAATTTGTTCTTTACAGACAGAAGCTCAGTACGTTCTTACTTGTACCTACATGACTTTCAGATCTATTTCTCTATACAGCAACATAACCACAGCAACCATGTACCAACCACTCCTTTATGTGACTTACGGGAATTATCTTATTTACTCCTCTAACCAAGACAGGTTTCTTAATTCCCATTTTACAGATGCAGAAACTGAGGCTTTGAGAAGTTAGGTAATATGCCCCGTGTCACAAAGCTGGTGTAAGGAGTGAGCCAGGATTCAAACCTAGCTCTGTGGGCTCCAAACTCAGTGCTTTTTTTTTTTTTTTGCTTTTTTTAAAATATTTTATTGTATTTCAGGTGAAGGCTTACAGAACAAATAGTTTCTCATGAAACAGTAGTACACATGTTGTTTTACAAGCTCAGTGCTTTTCCCACATACTTCCCCAGCCTCCAAGTTCATAACCTTTAAGTGTACAGTCCTTAGCCCCGTGCTTTTGCAATTCTTCTTGCCCAGAAAACTCTCCTACTTACTCTTCTAAATAAGGCTATCATCTCCTTCAAGGCTGGTTTCATCTACCATGACTCCATTCCACAATGATTAATCACTTCTCTCAGGTGGAAATTTCTTTACACAACAACGAATATTGACTGAGCACCCACAACACATTAAGCACTGGAAATATGGCAGTAAACAAAATACATCAAGTGCCTGTCCTCATGAAGCTTATCTTGGATGAGACAAATAATAAACAAATAATTTCATGCTATATAATAGTAAATGACACCAAGAAAAACAAAGCTAGGTGACAGGAATAGCAAGTGAGGCATAAGGGAAGGGTGACCTGTTTTTCATTAGTATGGTCAAGGCACGCTTCACTGAAAAGACAACATTTAAGAAGAGTCCTGAAGGAAGTGAAGAGTGAACCATATGGGTATCAGAAGGAAGACGTTTCCAGGCATCAGGACAAGCAAGTATAAATACTCTGAGGCAGAAGCATGCATGGCACATTCAAGGACGAACAAAGAGGCCAGTATGGCTGGACTGAAGTGAGGGGAACTGGTGGGAAGTGGGGTCAGAGAGGTGGTAGGGCCATATCAGACTGGGACTTTGTCGGCCATTATAATAACTTTAAATTGTACTCTGAGTCAGATGGAAAACCACTGGAGGATTCTGAATGGAGGAGTAAGATGATATAATTTATGTTTGAAAAGGTCCGCCCTCCCGCATAGACTAGAATAGAGGAGAGGCACACAGGAAGACGCAGAGAGACACTTAAGGAGCGACTACAATAAATGGCAAAAACTGCCGCCTCAGTTGGGGTGGTAACAGTATAAATAGTGAGTTTCTGGATATATTTTGAAGTTATCAGTCATCAGAACTCACTGATGAATTAGGCATGGCATGTGTAAGAAACAGGAGTCAAGAATAACTCCAAAGTTTTTGACCTGACAACTAAAAGAATGGAGGTACATTTTCTGAGATAGCAGAAGTCTGTAAAATGAACAGATCTGGCAACACAAATCAGACTTTAGTTTTAGACATATTAAGTTTGAGGGGCCGATAAAACACCCAGGTGGAGATGTTCTAAAAAACAAAACAAAACCTGTTGCTATCGAGTTGATTCTGACTCATAGCAATCCTACAGGACAGAAGAGAACCACCCCATAGGGTTTCCAAGGAGCGGCTGGTGGATTTGAACTGCTGACCTTTTGGTTGGCAGCCGAACTCTTAACCACTGTGCCACCAGGACTCCAGAGATGTTCTACAGAGTTAAAAATAAGAATGTGAAGCTCTGTTTTAATAAGAGAGGAATCCTGCACATGTTTGTAGAGAGAAATGGAAACAGCAAAGAGGAAAAGGGTGAACAGACATGGGGAAAATATGTAATAGTGCTGAACAGAATTGAGGGTTGAACTTGCAAAGGCAAATAAAATACACAAGGTAAATTAAAGAGGTGGTAGGGGGAGATGGAAGAACAGTAAAGACAGGGCCTTGGGGAACACTTAGGCTTAAGAATAGGAAAAGGAATTAGTAAAGGAGGCAAAGAAAAAAACAGAGAAGTAGGTGAAGAATAAGGATGGCTCAGAATCATAGAACTCGAGGGAGAAATTCTGAACATGACGAGGGAAGTCATGGAAGACACCTCTAAGAAAAGATGAGTAAATTTGTCTACTGGAAGTTTAATAGTACATTTTCACTAACATCAATACTATGCAAGGGATTAAAGATTGTGTGGATGGAGAGACAATCTGGCAACAAAGAGAGGAAGAGAGAAATAATTATGCATATATATACACATCCAAATTCATTTTACCATGTGGAATTGAGTAATGTATCACAAATAAGTACTAGAACTAGAGGAAGACAATGGTCTTCCTCACCAGCCAAATGAGAATAAAATACATCCAGTGATAGGATGAGCTGATCAGTTATTTCATGATCTCATCTTTGTCCACGCTGGCATTCATTTCTTTCATATTTAATAACTCTACAGATCGAAGGCTCTTTATCTCCTATGAAGAATACTCAAAATGCAATTTAAAAACGTGTACTAATGAATATGTTCCAGTTATTAAGCCACAGAAGTCTAAATTACCTAAAACTCTAAATACTCCTCTGTATTCATATCATATTAATATTGGTTTCCAGACTCCAAACTTCAATATAATAGATTATTTCTGCTACAAACAGTGATGAAAGGCTATCTTACGAAAGATAATACTGCTTCAAATAACAATATATGATAGCAAAATTAACTAATACTGGTACAAAATAAATAATGCTTACCTAGCATACGAATGTACAACGCAGTCTGATCAGAACTGTCATAGGAAATTGCTCCACGCCTCTAGAAATAAAACAAGACACATGCATTTTTAATACATGACAATTAAATCTGGTATAAAATTCAACAAATACGTACTTATTATATATAATTTATTATTTGTAAAGTACTATGCAAGAGAAATTGGATATATAAATGAAATTAGATATGGTACCTGCTCTTGAATGTAGAGTAGCTGAAGCAAATGAAACAAAAGATGAAGTAAAAAGAGCTGAATAGAAGGTTACAAAGGGAGGCTCAAGAAGACAAAGTAAAATATTAAAATAAGATGTGCAAAGACCAGGAGTTAGAAAACAAAAAGGGAAGAACACGCTCAGCATTTCTCAAGCTGAAAGAACTGAGGAAAAAAATGTAAAATCTGAGTTGCGATATTAAAGAATCCTATGGGCAAAAAACTGAACGATACAGGAAACATCAAAAGAAGATGGAAAGAACACAGAGTCACTGTACCAAAAAGAATTGGTCGATGTTCAACCATTTCAGGAGGTAGCATATGATCAAGAAATGACGGTACTGAAGGAAGAAGTCCAGGCTGCATTGAAGGCACTGGTGAGAAACAAGGCTCCAGGAATTGACGGAATACCAGTTGCGATGTTTCAATAAACAGATGCAGCGATGGAAATGCTTACTCACCTATGTCAAGAAATTTGGAAGACAGCTACCTGGCCAAATGACTGGAAGAGATGCATATCTGTGCCCATTCCAAAGAAAGGTGATCCAACAGAATGTGGAAATTATCAAACAATATCATTAATATCACACATAAATGAAATTTTGCTGAAGGTCATTCAAAAATGGTTGCAGCAGTAGATCAACAGGGAACTTCCAGACATTCAAGCCGGATACAGAAGAGGACTTGGACAAGGGATATCATGCTGATGTCAGATAGATCTTGGCTGAAAGCAGAGAATACCATAAAGATGTTTACTTGTGTTTTATTGACTATGCAAAGGCATTTAACTGTGTGGATCATAACAAATTATGGGTAACATTGCAAAGAATGGGAATTCCAGAACATTTAGTTTTGCTCATTAGGAACCTGAACACAGACCAAGAGGCAGTCACTCGAACAGAACAAGGGGACTGTGTGGTTTAAAATCAGGAAAGGAGTGTGTCAGGGTTGTATCCGTTCACTAGACTTGTTCAATCTGTATGCTGAGCAAATAATACGAGAATCTGGACTATATGAAAAAGAAACCAGCATCAGAATTGGAGGAATACTCACTCATTAACAACCTGCGAGATGCAGATGATACAACCTTGCTTGCTGAAAGCAAAGAGGACTTGAAGCCCTTCCTCATGAAGATCAAAGACTACAGCCTTCAGTATGGATTACACCTCAACATAAAGAAAACAAAAATCCTCACAGCTGGAAGAGATTGAAGCAACATCGTGATAAACGGATAAATTATGGAATTTGTCCAAGATTTCGTTTTACTTGGATCCACAGTCAACACTGCTGGAAGCAGCAGTCAAGAAATCAAATAACATATTGCATTGGGAAAATGTGCTGCAAAAGACCTCTTTAAAGTGTTAAAAAGCAAAGATGTCACCTTGAAGACTAAGGTGCACCTGACCCAAGTCATGGTATTTTCAATCACCTCATATGCATGCAAAAGCTGGACAATGAATAAGGAAGACCGAAGAAGAATTGATGCCTTTGAGTTACGGTGTTGGTGAAGAATACTGAACATGTACCATGAACTGCCAGAAGAATGAACAACTCTATCTTGAAGAAGTACAGTCAGAATGCTCCTTACAAGCAAGGATGGCAAGACTTTATTTGGACATGTTATCAGGAGAGACCAGTCCCTGGAGAAGGATATCATGCTTGTTAAAGTAGAGGTTCTGCAAAAAAGAGGAAGACCATCAATGAGACAGACTGACACACTGGCTTCAACAGTGCGCTCAAACTTAGCAACAATTGTGAGGATGGCACAGGATGGGGAAGTATTTCATTACAGGGTCGCTATGAGTTGGAATCGACTGGAAGGCATATAACAACATCTGCTCTGGAAATCTCTAGTTGGGGAAAGGAAATAATTACAATACAATATGCTTAAGTACTATCACAAAAGTAGAGAGAAAGTGAGGAACATGCACTAGGTGTGAACTTAATCTGTCTCAATAAGTTGGAAAAGGTTTGTTTGGATGGCATTTGAGATGACTCTTAAAGGACTAATAGGCTGTGGCCAAATTGAAAAGCAAGGAAAAGGACAACCCATGCAAAACAAATAGCAGGAGTATGGCCAAGAAGCCCAAATGTGTTAGAGACTGCTAAGTCATCTGGTTTTCTGGAGCAAAGAGAAAAGAGGAGGCACAAAAAGGATATTTAAACCATATCATGTAGGCAATAAGAAGCCACAAGAGATTTTTAAGTGCAGGTGAAATATTTAGCAAGTTAACTTTGGTGGCAGTATGAGGGATAGATTGGAAAAGGAAAGACAATAGAGATGAATGAGCAATCTACTAAAAATAGTATGACCACATATGTGCTCTCCAAGCTATAACAGCCAAAACAAGAAACAACCCAAATGTCCACCAACTGATGAATGTATAAATAACATGTGGTATAGCTATACAGAGAAGCCCTGGTTGTGCAATGGTTAAAACACTCAACTGCTAACCAAAAGGGTCAGCAGTTCAAATCCACCTTGGAAACTCTATGAGGCAGTTCTCTGTCCTACAGGGTTCCTATGAGCCGGAACTGACTTGATAGCAAAAGGTTTGGTATTCTTTGCACCTTTTCAATTTTGTGGTATGTGCAGTTATTATATATTCATGAAATAAATCAAATTAAAATTAAAAATTAAAGTGAGAATCTACTACAAAGGAAAGCATGATCTCAAATCCCAAAGGACTAAATTGTACAGAATCCACTCCTGCCATCACACTTAAGAGTCTCTCCTACCAGTAGACTATCCTAAGAGGGCAAACTGCAGTGTTTCAGAGTAAACTATTCTGGAGCAAACAATCACAGTAATCACTTTGGTGTTGACAGGCACCACGCACACCTGTTGTCCCAATCTCCACCCAAAGAAGTTTAGTTTATTAGATTACAACCAAAAACCAAACCAAAGTCACTGCCATCCAGTTGATTCCGACTCACAGCCACCCTGTAGGACAGAGTAGAATTGCCTATGGGGTTTCCAAGACTGTAAGTCTTTATGGAAGCAGATTGCCACATCTTTCTCCCAAGGAGCGGCTAGTGAGCTCAAACTGCTGACTTTTTGGTTAGCAGCTGAGCGCTTTTAACCACTGTGCCACCAGGGCTACTATTAGATTACAAGCATCCCCTTAATACTACCATATTAGGGGAAAACCTCGTAGCCTGGAGAGCACATATGTGGAAAAGAATATTTCTATTAGCCAAGTTATATTAAAGAAAACACAGATTCATTATGTAACAGTTTGTTGCGGTCGACATCTACCAACCTGTTAATGTCTAATAACAACTTGGATAAATAGCTTGTTAAAACAATTTTTAACCTGTTATCTCTAACAGTCTTCTTTAGGAAAGTAGCTGACGTATTTTTTTTTTTTTAATGTAGAAAGGGTATCTACTAAAACAGTCATTAATTAGAAGGGTAAAATCTAATTTATCACTTCACATATTAAGGATTGAGAAAGTAACTAACATCAGTTCTCTGTTAAGTAAAACAGTATTAAGTAAAACACTGGGTAATGAACATAATATAGTTTAGTTTACAACTATGACGTACTAATTTATTTCAAGGTAACTGATTATATTAGTTATTTATAGAGGCACTAATTGAGATATTAAAATGGGATGGTCTGTATTAGTCAACCTTAATAAAAACTTGGCAAAAAGGGAGAATTTAATTCTAAATATATATGAATAAATTACTTAGAGATGTGCAAAATACTCAAGTTATTCATTATAAAGTACTAGTTTAATTAATTCTGGTCCACAAATACTTAGCTTTAATGCTATACTCAGCTACAAGAACATAATTTTGTGAAATAAATCCAAATGAGACAAATATATATATGTATTTTAAAGAATGGACTTTTAAAAATATATTTGAACCCATCAACAACAACAACAAATTCATTCCTCTATCTTTAAATACAGATTAAAAGTGAATATTAAGTTTTCTCACTAAGCAATCTAGGTAGAATAATCTAAAATAACCAATTTTGGAAAAATACATTATAAATTATGAATTGCAACAATGAAAATCTGACTTTCATGTTAGAAACATGTTATTTTCAAAAATAATTATACATGCTTTGTACACTAAGAATGTTGCATGGATTTAATATATATTTTTGAAAGATTATCGTTTAAAAAACCCATATATTAGAATTCCATTGTTAATAAAAATAGTACAACAAATTTAATCAAAATCCTGTGTCACACTGTTAGTCATAAAACACATTCCCACCTCACCTCACCAGTGAATGGAAATAACTAAGTAACTTCTACTCGTGACTTTTCTAATTTAGCCATCCTGGGAACAGCTTGTAAAGCAAACCAGTATAGGTCAAAACATGGGTGAGGCTGAGCTAATCAGAAACTGACAGCCGCAGCATAAACAAGTTAAATTGTAGGGCTCCAAAGGATCCACAGCCACACTAATAAGAGTTTTGAGCACCCTGGTAAGATACTCCTCGCTCATCTTGAATCAGGGTGAGTCACTCTTCAACTGATTTTACTTACAAGGTAAATGACAAAAGATGTAAAAGTTGTTCCCAGTATTAGTTAATACATAACTAAAAGACAGCCATGTTTTAAAACTGAGCAAAGATTTTTAAACTGCCATTGTTTCTATCTTCCAAGTTTTTCCACTGAAAGATGTATTGTGAAAAAGCATGTATATTTCCCTTATGTGGTGAAGTAATATATATTAACTAACACTTGCTGAGCTCCTAACACTGCACCAGAAGACGTTCCAGGGGATCTCTCACATAATCTCACTTCACCCACATAAGACCTCTATTGGATAGGTCTTATTGGCCCCATTTTGCAGATCAGTAAACTGATGGTCAAAGAGCATATACACAGTAGAACTAGATAAACGTTTGGTAACAGTACCAAAAAATGATAACATATAAGCAAAAACTGAAGCCTTGCCTAAGTTTGGAAAGCAGTTTTCTCTGATGTAGCAAAATAAGCCTTTTCAGAGTGTATTCATCTTACCTATGCTACAAAAGACATGCTTGTGTTTGGGTGCCAAAAGTATTTCAATACTTCATAGACCCATTGAATAGTATCCTGTCCTTCTTCCCTATGCACACAATGGGCTTTTCTATTAAAAAAAAAAAAAAACACAAACTTAATTTAAATTTTTGGAGGTCAAGACAAAAGTCTCTGACAACATTCACATATTCAATGAATGCATTATTAACATTAACTTGGCCTTCATTCAATAACTTGGCAAGCTAATCCTTTAAAAACAATGAGTAAAGTAAATAAAAGCTGTCAGCATAACAAAATTGATTCTTATAAAACACAAGAATTTTTTAAATGTGGAAAACATTGTTTTTCTTTAAGAGACTCTTCAATTATTCACTAAAAGGGCCACTTCAAGCAAGAGGCGATTATGCTTAAAATGTTATGCTTAAATGTGAAAAATTATATATCAGGGATTAAAATCTTGCTTGAAGAAGAAACTTAACTTTTTAGAAGCTTTGTGCTGCTCAGCAAACAGTGATGGCTTTATAAATTGTAAATTAATACTATCCAATTTCTTAATACGGAAGGTAAAAAGCTACGTGGTTGGATGAAAGATCATTTTTATACAAGTATAGAAAATATAATATCAAATAGTATAATCTTAAATATTTCCTGCTTTAAACATTACTAAATTTTTTTTTCTCCGAAAGAGAATGTTTAAAACATGTATACCTTGAAGTCTAATTTGTTTTCTTTTAAAATCTGAAAAGTTAAAAACTTCTTTAAGGGATTACTATGAGGAAAAAGCTACTTCAAAATCAAGGAATGATACGATACCACAAAAAGCCCTTAAGGAGGAAAGAGGTCAAATAAGAATAAAAATTAAAACTAGTAATTTTAAGCTTTTCCACTGATAGGCAAAACTCATAGCTCTTTTAATCAAAGAAATAAAAACTGAGGGAAAAGGAGAAAAAAACTGACTAGTTATTTTATTCCTATCAAATCCATAAACAAGTGATTAATGTTACAATCCTAAGAATAAAGATGGCCTACCTTAGAGGCGATCCACTTGATAAGAACCAAGGCCAGACACCAGATCAATGTAATTCCCATTGGATCAACCGAAAGCCCGTTGCATAATCCCTCCCCTCCACCAGAGAGCAAGGACTTCTGAGGAGTCTGGTAAATCACAAGCTGTCCAGAGACCGAAGAGAGGGGACACTGACTGATTTGAACCTCCAGCAGCTGCCTTCACACAACTATCACCTGACTTCTCTGAGAATGCACGGCCCAGCCAGCCTTTTCGCTGAGCACTGGCTTAATACCACAACACCAGGGTTGGGGTCAAACAACGTAAGTAAAGTTGGAACAAGGAAAAAAAAAAAAAACAACCTCAGTGAGGGCTGACCTAACGGTCTCACAAAATGTAGACCTAAAGAGGTTTCTGACGAGCCCCAAACACTTCTACAATCTTAATACTAGCAGATTGCTTTGAACCAACTTCCAAAAACTGTTTGGCAGTACTAAAAATTTACTCGTACTTTTCACATATACCAGCTTCACAGGGATAATGTCCCGACATTTAAAAACATTAGTATATTTTAATCTATCTTTTTCAAATTTAAATCTTTTAATTTGTTCAACTTTTTATTTCCTTTAGAGATAGGACTGATTACTTTATGAACATTAGAGACTGCCATAAATAATGTCTGAGCTACTTAACACTATAATTCATTCACTGTGAATTTATTGACAAAAGGAGAGTCTAGCAGTGCATTTTCAAATAATTAAAAGTATTTTTTCAAGCCCCAGTTGCAATCTAACTTATACAATCATTTTTGGGCACATGTCTCATTCTTTTCTTGGCTATGACTGAGCTCTCCTAAGAGTTAAGTGTGCCTATATTCATCCATCTTCATGATCTCTCATAGCAGCTAGCATGTTGCAGGCAGTACTGCTGAGGAAAATCCATTTATGAAACTTTCATTCATGTATTCAGCAACTATTTATTAAGCTGCTACAATGCGGGAGGCCCTGTGCTAGAGGCTAGGGATGTAACTGTTGAGTAAAAATGGCCATGGTTCCTGCCCTTGTGAAGCCGACAGTTTAATGAGTCTGCATTAGTCAAATAATTATGCAAACAATTACAAAACTGCAACTGTAACAAGCGTGATGAAGTAGGGATAGGAGCCGCCAACGCAGCCTGCGTCTGACCTAGTCAAGAGTTTCAGATGCCTTCCCAGACTCCCTGAAATGTACCTGAGCTGTGAAAGAGCAAGAACATGAAGACCAGTGACCCGCAGAGACGGAGTAAGACGTGCCAAGGAGCAAAACAAAAGGAAGCAGGGCAAGTAGGAGATGGAAAAAAAGACAGGAGGCTTCAGTGCAGGAAGGTGGGCGAGCCAGAGAGGGGCCAGATGAGGCTGGGGGGTGCAGAGGAAGAGGCCAGGCCACACAGGAGCCTCCCAGGAGACCACGTGACAGTGTTCTGTCTTCATCCTAAAAATTAATCCCAATAATGGGGAAATTAGGGAGGAGGGGAGAGCATAGGGCAAAGCTCTGTGCTTTCTGCACAATTTTTCTGTAAACTGCTCTAAAAAAAACAAAGTTTATTAAATTTAAAAAAATTAATCCCAACCTGCTAAAGAATTTTAGCAGATTTTGCATTTTAAGAAGACCACTTTGGTCAAGTATAGACAGTGGTGTAGGGGCTGTATGGTAGTTCAGAGGCCACTGCAGGGTCCGAGGAGAGGTGTGGTGGCCTGGACTGGGATAGCAGTGGTGGAGATGAAGATAATGGACTGACTGAACAGATACTTAGGGGTAGCAGGACTGTGCGATGTATGGCAGTCCACAGCAAGACAACGTCATCTCCACATCAATGGCACAAAGATGAAGGGTCTAAAATATTTGAAAATGGACCAAATACTTTATAAATACTAATATTATTTTCATTAGCCAATCCTTGGTACAAAGAATTTTTTTTTTCAAGTTAATTCTAGACCTATCAAAACAAAGCATAAATTAAATATACAGGTCTAAATAAAAATTTTCCTAAATTGAAACCACTCATAAAACATGGCCATAAATTGCTACTCCACAAAATATACGTTATGTACCTCTCCTGTGGATACTACGCTAACAAGCTGTGTGTACTACTGCAATGCCCATCTCGCACAAATGAAGATGACGTCTTCATTTTGTCATGAGACTAGGCACAGCCTGAGTGTCAGGTCTTCGTTTATTCTCAGGAATCCAGTAAGGGTCCAGTGACCAAACTTTAAGGATGCCCAGGAATGGGGCAGAGCAGAAGCGTGTACATTAGCCCAATTCTCGAAATGCTGGCAGTCACCTATAAGAGGCCAGGCAGCCTGGGCCCGTGCTAATGCTGGCTTGTGGTCATTCATTATCTGCCTCTCTGGCTTGGGTTGTGCTCTCCAAATTATTAGTCCACCACCACCTGCTGAGCCCAGGAACGCTTCTCTTCATTTCAACCTCACACTTCCCTTCCAATCAGCTGCTCAGAAAGGGTCAAGTTTTAAGAGACAAATACAAGACTGCTATTTTTGGCATAGTACTTAAGTATTTTTAATAAATGTCCCTTTGGTTAATGGTGAACTCCACAATCTGCATTTTCCTTTAACCTAAAAGAGAGGGACTGAAATAATCAGAACTGAGACACATACCGAAAAACTGTGACAGTAAGAAAAAGAGTTCACTCTTTTAAATGAATGTGTCAAGACTATTTCCACCTTTATCAGGCTTGGAGACAAGAGCCTGGGTTTACTTCCAGGCTTTACTGCTGTAAGCTGAGTGACCCCGGGCAAGCCACCACCTTATTTTCCTCCCCTTCACTGGAGTTAAATGATAGGTATAAAACAATACCTAGCTCACAGTAGGCTCTCAATAAATTTTAGCTCAATTTGAATGAAATATTTAAGACCTAGGAATGATAATGCCGTGCCCTGAGCACTCTTGCTTCACCTCAACTCTAGGCTTACCTGAAATCACAACTGTCCAGAAGAGAAACTTGCTCTGCTGCTTGCCAAGCACCCTATAGAAGCCTCCTCTGCCCTACCTTAGGGCTACAGCCTTGGTTTTCATGTTCACACCAGCTAATATGTCGGCTGCTTAAAACAGTTTCCCCTGGCATCTACTTCTTGAATTTCTACTATATGTCTGATACTGAAACAGAAACGATCAAGACACAATCCTCCCAGATCAGAAAATGTCCTATTTGAATACAGTCACTGAGATTATGCCCAAAATCACAAAGCCTTCATTGCTTTATATCATTTGTATCACTCACACAAAGCTTATAAAAATCTCAGGCAATACAATTTTTCTTGAAGTAGTACTTATATTTGGAACCCTATTTCATATTTTTTTCATAATGTTCAAAGATCACTTCCCAAAATCCTTCTACCATCCCAGTGGTAAAAAATCTTCCCCTAACTAAAGATATTTTTTTGATGTTCCATAGATTTCCTTTTGAAATCTTATAACAAAGGTAATAGTAAATGATCTCAAGAAATTAAATTCCAGATAAACATTTTACATTTAACCTTCTTAATGGTGTGAACCTAATGGCTCTAAAACTTTTTCTTATTTTGCGATATGACATATTTAGGACTACCTTATCTTGCTAAATTGCAAGATTTCTCTTAAAAATAAAAATAATTTTCAATAAGATGAAATAAAAACAAAGGCTATTGTCAAAGTACTATGAATTCTCCTTTATAGCCTTATGCTTATTTCTTAGAAAAGTCTCTTAAAAATTAATCTTTTCAGAGTTAAATCACATAATTTATTGTCCTACAAGGAAATAGTGGCCTCTTTAACAAATGCATTCTTTTCATTAACCATTTTCTCAGCTGTCTCAAATCTTTAATGAACCATGGCAGGGTAGCAATAGATCAGCTGACTAAAAAAATTAATGCATAGAATACATACAAACTTTTGAAAACAGAATTTGATATTACAAGAATGTATAAAAATTTTACCTTTCTGGGGTTTATAAGGCTAATATCTGAAAAACTAAATTAAAATCAAGTCCCATAATTTTACGAGTGTAATCAATAGAAAGAAAGGTATGACTTTGATCATTGTTTCTTAGGGAAGCAACCGAAGAGCAAATTTTATCCCTGGGGCTCTCTGCCATCCACAGGACACCTGTCAATCTTGGCAAGAGCCTTTAGCTATCCATATAGAGAGCCAGCATGTCCCTCTCTTGACCAAATTAGGCTAACCTCATCTGCATTGACATCAGTGTCTATAATTTTGGAATCCCGTGGACAGAAATAGCTTATCACAGAGTCCTTTATACAAATGAAGTGCCTGAAGCAAACTATAACCAAATTTATGGTGGAAAAAACAAACACCATAATGAAAACCCTCCAACTGTGCTTTGATAATTGTGAATTCCAGCCAATTTTAATAATAAACAGGGTTTTGTTATTTTTGTTGATCATTTTACTAAAAACCACATACCAAGGCTTATTATTTTTCAAATGGTGTGAATTTCAAGAGATATAAAACTAAAAAAAAATTCAGCTTTCATAGCTAACAAAAATTATTTAAACATTTATGGTAGCATGACAGTTCTACCAGTCAATTAAGACCTTTCTGTCATAGATTTTTAACTCTTAATTAAGTTTTCTGTAATATAGTATACCAGTATCTGATGACAATGGACATGTGATTCCTCCTATTAAGAAGGAAATAATTAAAACAGCTTGGCATTTTACAAACATTCAAGTCTTCTGGTCCAGAAAACTACATCCTATGATACTAAATGAACTTACACATTTGTTTATCTGTTCATAATACCTGAAAATCATGGAGAAGTAGAAAGTTGTCACAAAACACAGGCAAATGTTGCCTCAGTTTCCAAAAGGAAAAAAAAAAACCCAGTAATGTAGATCCCACAACTGGAGAGTTTGGACTTAGAAAAGGAGCACACAATGGGTTTACTTTAAGCATAAGGTTACTACTATGTTAGACCAAGAGAATGTCACACACAAAGGACACCTGGATTCCAGCAAGGCTGCAAACAAAGTCTCTGGTGACATTCTTAAGAACAAGACAGAACAATGTGAGTCCCGTACAACAGGCAGACTCCTGGCTGACTGAACAAACATACCCACAAAGTTTAAGTAACTACCTGATAGCAACCTAGTGGAAGATTTCTAGAGGTAAATAACAGAATTCTGCATTTGACCTTGTTTTGTTTCACATTTATTTGGGTGATGATCAGATAAATGCATATCAAGTCTGCAAATAAAACTCAAAAAGGGTGAATCAGCATGCTAAATTACCAACTTAAAAAAAAAAAACAGAATTCTTAATTTTGATATAAAATAAAATGAATGTGTATAGAACAACAGAAATCTTAAATACACACACACACACACACACACACACATACACAGGGAGGAGGCGGAGCCAACATGGTGCTATAGACAGAAGCACCATGCCATCCCTGTGCAGCAAAGTCCTGGAAAACTAAGTAAAACAAGATACAAATGTCAATCCTAGAACCCCAAGCATCAGATGAAGGGGTAATTAATCAAGCACCGAATGGAAGAAGGAACTGACAGAAAACAGAGAATGACGAGCGCTACAGACTGGAGGTCCCCTGCCAGCTAACGTGGCATGGATTCACTATCTTGGAGCACAGCCACCAATAACCCTGGACAGGGACTACAGGAAAGCAACTTCACGGAGCTCCCAACAGGAGACAGAGTACCCGGTGTCATGGTTTGAATTATGTCCCCCCAAAAATGTGTGTATCAATTTGGCTAGGCCATGATTCCTGGTACTCTGTGATTTTCCTGTATGTTGTAAACCTGCCTTTATGATGTTAATGAGGGAGGATGGGTGGCAGTTGTGTTAGTAAGGCAGGACTGGATCTACAAGATTGGATTGTGTCCTGAGGCAATCTCTTGAGATATAAAAGACAGAAGGGAGCAGAGAGACGGGGGACCTCATACCATCAAGAAAGCAGTGCCAGGAGCAGAGCACGTCCTTTGGACTGGGGTCCTTGTGCAGAGAAGCTCCTAGTCCAGGGGAACACTGAAGAGAAGAAGGCCGACAGAGAGAAATAGCCTTCCCCTGGAGCTGATGACCTGAATTTGGACTTTTAGCCTACTTTTGACTATGAAGAAATAA